TAAGGCTCATCATGAGTTAATCACCCAACTTCTTTTTACGTTACAGAGTTTAAATCCATCCCGTTGGTACTTCCAGGGTTTTTATTTACTACTGTCTATGGTGAAGTGAACCTCATCATAGTGCACTTTCCTTGGAGCAGCTTCATTTATGATTCTGCTCTGGAGTTCTCTAAGACAGTGATAACATCAGCATTCCTCGGTCAGTGCCCTTCCTTGTCAATCACAATGACAGGTCTAATGACAGAAACTCCACAGAGTTTCTTTTTATTTTTTATGATATATATGAAAGAGGAACAGGAAGGAATAAAGTAACGGAGACGTTAGAGCTCAGCTAATCACAATTTTTAGCAGTTTTCATTGAAAGCCAATAAATGTAATTCTCCAATAGAGGATTAAAACCAAATTTTGTCTCAACTGCAATTTTTAAATTTTCCTTTCTCTAATCAAAATTTACAAGTATTCTAACTACCACTAACAGGCTGCACAATTGTCATTTATTAGTGTGTCAAAGAAATAAGAAATCTTTAAAATATACTAAGAAAGTAACTGTTTAGCCTAATGAGATACATTGTTTTAATTAGCATAGTATTTACATTGGGATATAAATATTTTTGCATCAATTTATTCAGTTATCAACTGTTGTTCTCTAAAAACAGCTTCAGCAATCTAATCTTTATAATACTGGATAAATAGTATGATTTTTAAAACTTGTAATTCGTATTTCAGTACCTTTGTAACATATCTCATGGGAACTATCAGAATTCAAATGCAAGCACTAAAAGACAGCTATCTTTTTATAAAAAATACACTACAAAATTTCACAGTATACATTTCATACACTCATTAATTTCTATTTAAGTTTAATGACTAAAATTTCGATGAAAAGTGGTGACTAAAAAGTTTTATGATAAAAATAATCAGAAATCTCACAGTAAATAGCTGCTGCTGCGTAAGGATTGAATTGACCCAATCATACTGCACAACCCAAACACACAGTACGCCAATCAATCAACAGATAACCCCAACTTCAACATGCTGTGAGACATGAATCAGATGGCAAAAAAACCCTGCATTTATATATTTTGGGTTTGCAGCAAATGATGTAACGTGTCTTGCTTTTCTCCCCAGTGCAGGTACCACACAACGAAGTCACTTCAGAACAGTCAGCTGTCCAGGAAATTGTCTCTGTGTGCCATAGAAGGACGGACTCATTCATTTGTTCCTCAACCTTTAACACCTAAACCCCTTATTTTTAAAGCCAGATATAAAAATTGCCTGGCACGGATATCATGCACATATACCTAGCATAGTTTGTTGTCAGGAAATGCTGCCTGTTATCCTGCCAGCCAATGTTTAGTTTGATCCAGGTTTTTCTGGATGCGAAGAGGTCATAAAAAAACATTAACCTACAGTACAACTGAACATTGCTTCTTCTTCATTAAGACTATGTTTGAGTTCAAATGTGCTTAATATACGACTATTGTTGCTAATGGAGTCAGTTATTTCAAAGCTACTTCAGGTATCTCAGTGCCAAATTGCAGTCCACAGTATGGAGGTACATCAGGTAGATGACCAGGATATAGCTTAATTTCTTCTTCATTTTAATTATTTAAGTATTGTTTGGGGAGTGATGGAGCAAATATCAAAAGCTTTACATATTCAGACGTAAAAAATATGAAGTGTCTGTAATAGAAGTTAGAATTAAAACAAAACCCCTCCTGAATTAATGAAGTTTATGAAATATTCTTGAAGAAATGACCCAGTGTCCTAGTTCCAAAGAATTTCCTAGTGATCCAAGTCACTTTCTTGATTGCCACTTTCAACAGAAAAAAGGGAATAAAACATCACTAACCTCCCAAAATCAGTAAAAAAAAAAAAAAAGGTAGAAGGGATTAGAAGTCACAGTTACTTGGATCTCCAAGCCCTACCAAGACAGAAGCAATATAACACAACTCCAAATCAATGTAAAAATGAAAAAGTTTTTCTCACTCTTCAGGATCACTCTAATGATTTTTAATAAAAAAGGGAAAACTGATATCCTAATCTCTGATGCAATTCTTTGGAAATCTTTACCTTAAATTTCTATCTGACTACTC